ACACAACATTCACCAAATCGTTTGAAACTTTCAGGGCTTGTGTAATAGTCACTTCTAAGACTTTTTTGCTCTTGGACAAAATTTATACGACGTCTTGTTCAAGAGCTGTAGCCAAAATACCAAATACCCTCCGGAACGGTTTTTTAAAGTATCTTATTCTTTGTAACACTGCTAGTCTTGCGCTACTTTGTGCTATCGAAATTCTGATGATAGATTTGGATTCCTTATCATCAGGGCTATCAGAATCACTATTTTTAAAAAATTTTTGGACTCATGTCTGAACGAAGAGTCTCTGGAGACCCTTTTCAATAGCCAAGTATTCCAGGAGCAAAAACTCCATTTATAGAGAACTCTGGACTTCGTGGAACATCTCATTTGATAGAGCATCAGAAGATCTATCGAACCATATGTGCGCCGTCGGGCGGGAGTAAGATTTCACCGAGATAGGGTCTCCAGAAAACTAACATGGGTTTTTGAAAAATCATAATTTTTTTTTTGTCAAATTGGACCAAAAATATGTGAAAAAACTTTGTTTTATAGATTGTGCCGTAGTAGTACGTAGAAGACCCCTTGGATCTATCGAGATTCTACAAAGATTTCTGAAGAACTATCTTAGATTTAGGTTTACTGAATCCACGTGAGAATTTGAGAAGGATGAGAAAGAGTAACAGGAGATTACTTGATCATGGCCTTATACATGTGCATTTTTCGTCTAACTGGTCTCCTTCTGTTCTGTGTTATTTTATCTCCTGTTTTCTTTTTGTTCTGTTCTGTGTCTTGTTTGGTTTGTTTTTTAATATATCTCTTCTATTATCGAGTAAATTTCTGCACGTACGGATATTTCGTTCTTTTTTCATTTCTTTTTGTGAATATCATATTCACTCATCAATAATACCGTGTTGTTTTTGACGTAAGTGAGAGAAAACATATACAATAATAAACACGTAAAGGTTTGAATCTATCGTTTGAAATAATGTTAATGTTGCCTACTTTAGAAGCTCGCATTATTCGAACAAAAAGTGGTATAGGTTGTTGAGTTAGAGATGCCTCGAAGCAATAAGAAGTGGTGCGCTCATCCAATCTCTCACGAAGGTACAAGAAAGTCGGGTCCGGGCGCTCTTCGTCCACGTGGAGATCGGCCTATTGATAATGATCTAGCCGCGTTCATCACACAAGAGTATTATCAAGCGGATGCGAATGTTGGATTCGCTCTATCTGAAGGTGATCTTCTATGTCGAACTTGTTACGAGACAGAGTCAACTCGATTTCATAGCAGTTTGGTCGTGGAAGTAAATTCAATAGCAGTTGATTCACCGTTATCTGCAGGGAGCCGACACATGGCAGAGACTGTCGAAACGAAATACAAGCTTGAACAGCCCAAAGAACTGCTGAATCAGGTATTCCAGATACTAGGAATTGAGAAGATTAGAGATGTGTAAGTACATCGTCGTATGTTCCATTTCTTAACTTGGTTTCCGTTTAGGCGACTGACAAATCAAGTAGACAAGCAAGTGACGATGGCTATCGAACTGATTCGATCCGCGGCAGAAGCCTTGCGACACTCGGAAGACATCGCCTAGCTCTCAAGTCACTCATCGCTTAAGCTCGCTGATAAGGAATATCTTCTCGACGGTTTCAAGTTTTTAATAAATTCCAGTGACCGACACGAGCAAATTCGTCTTCTTACTCTGGCTCCACCTGAATGGGGAAGAACGAAAGTTGAGGAATACTTCGGATGCTCTCGCTATTTGGCTCAAAAGAGCATCTCTCTTCGCGAGTCATACGGCAAGTTGGACGTACCTGTTGACTGGCGCAGCAACACCTGTCTTGATCCGCTCCTTGCCCAAGAAATTATCGATTTCAACAGTGATGATGCCATTAGCCGTCAGTCTCCTAACAAACGTGATGTAATTCACGTTTAAAAGAATCCCGTTGCCATTCGACACATGTCAATGACTGTAGGTCAAGCCTATCAACTCTTTGTACAACAGATGCAAGCCAAGCAGGAACTCAATTCTGTACAAAAATCGAGCTTTTACAACCTAAGACCAAAATGGATTAAGGTTAAGAAGCCACACGATGTTTGTACTTGCATTTATCATGAGAACTTAGAACTACTCATTCAGGTAGAATTCCACATACAGGAACCCAGGATCTATTTTGTTTGATAGGGTTGGAACAACCTGGATATCAACACCATGAATATGAAAAGTCTCATTGCTGAATGTGTGTGTTCTTCGCAAACGGAAACATGCTATTTTCGAGAGTGCGATGACTGCAAGTGGTTGCGGCCTGGTAGCTTTCTTTTCAGTGAGCTTCTGGATTGCCAGAATGTGACACTTGATGATAATGTTACTTGGATGACTTGGAAATCAGTGAGTGTCTCCCTCTGTGCGTTGTTTACCTATAATCTAAAGTTGATTCTCTCCAGCCTGTGTCGACGAAGAGGGTGGGCGATGCTGACGACGAGCCGACCACAGTTGCAAAGATCTCAATGCAACGTGTCAGCGGCTCGATTCGTGATCTGCTTGAGGAGTTCGATGTCAAGTGGACAAAGTTTGCTGTCCACCACTACTGCACTCGTCAACAGCAAGAGTACGTTAAAAAGATTAAAGGAGAAGCTCGTGCAGATGGAACAGTGGTAATCCAAATGGACTTTGCCGAAAATCATTCGCTGATTGTTCAGCACGAGATCCAGCAAGCTCACTGGACAACCCCACAAGCCACCATTTTTACGGTGCACATAACTGTAGACAAAACCATTCAGCACAGCCTCGCTTTTATTAGCGATCACCTTGATCATAATATTGATTTTGTTCATGCTGCTCAAAGTGTAATTGTTCAATTCATTCGACATCGCTATTCCACCGTGAAACGAGTTAACTATATCACCGATGGAGCTCCTCAACACTTCAAGAGCAATAAATCGATGCTGAATTTAACTTATCACGAGAGTGACTTCGGAATTTCTGCCGCATGGACATTCTCTGCTACAGCACATGGGAAAGGTCCAGTTGACGGGATCGGGGCAGCTCTGAAATACCGTGCAACTTGTCGAGTACTCAGCGGACGACGAACAGATGCCATCCTAACGCCACAAGAGCTTTATCAATTCACTTCAACCGACACCAAGATCAATGTCTTTTATCTTAGTCGGCAAGATATAAAGCTAAACTCTGAGTCTATGAATCTGAGCAAACGACTAGCTCAAAAGGCTGTCAAAGGTCAGATCATCCTTTCTAACATTGATAAAAGATTTCCTTCCTTTTTTGACAGGTTGGATTCACGGAATTCGTACTTTTCATCAGTTCGATCCTTTGGCAGTGAATCGCATCAGTTGCCGTAAAACATCCAGTAGCTCAGACTCAAAAACATTCGCACTTTAACACGTTCTTCCGCGGTTTCTTCCTCTTCTCATGCTTGCAAAACCAGGCTTTTCTTA